CAGTCCCATTGATAAGAACAGGCCTCAAACACATGTGGAAAGATAAGCACATCCCTAAGTGCTGTCCTGAAGAGGGATGAACTCAAACCTATGCTTTCCTGAATCCGAGCGAGAACGTCCTCTTGATCTGGTTTGGTCTGCAAAGCCACCCTGTCATTTAAATCCCTTCTTGAGACTTGCTCCTTCTAAGACACCTACAAACAACTAGCAGGTTAAAATGTCTGCTTATTTACTTCATTTTTCTCATGAGTGAACTTCCTATTCACATGAACATTAGGGGGGCAGGGATGTATTGACACTGGGATTGAAGCTGGGGATTGCTGGGGTGGGGGGAGTTGGGGAGCTTAATACCATAGTGATGGGCCTAACGTAAGAACTGAATAGGACTGGACATAAGTTGATCATAACCCGATCGTTTGGCTTGTTGTCTCCCTTTACCCTCTCCCTTGTTTGTCATTGTCTTTTCAGGCTTTGAGCTCTCCAGCGCAGGGAATGGCTTCCTCTGACTTGGGGAATCACCCAGCGCACTGTGGACACTGCCACAATCTACATTCAGATTGAAAATCTTGGGGCAGCAGTAAAGCTGAGGTTGATATAGGGTATGTCTACACTCAACAACAACAAAAAAGCTGCATTCTTAACTTGGCTTAGCTAACCTTGGTTAAAATAGCCATGAAGACACAGCAGCACAGCTTCCAGCCTGCTAGCTAACCTTTTTTTACATTTTTGGTATAGACATACCTGTATTTGCAGCTGCTCCCCCTGTTCACATCTCTAGATAACAGGCCTCATTCTCATCTCAGAGCGGTCTGAATGTGGTGTAACTCCATTCCTTTCGGTGGGCTGGTTCCTGATTCACTCTGCTGTGAGCGAACTCCGACTGAGGCCAAAAGAGGGAGAGAAGACGTGAGCTGACAGCTTGCCTGTGCATTTAATATGAGAGAGAAGCTAAGAACTGGCGATGTGGATAGCAGGTGACTCCCCTCTCCTCCCTGAGCAAACTTGCATCTTTAAAGTTTTGTCTCTTTTGATCATTAGTTTTTGGGAGTCTTTTGGGTGGAAGGGAGGAGAGGTGAGGATGTTAAAGTATAAAGTGCTCTGGGAAATCACTGAAATCGATTGGAAGTTTATTGGGGCCTATTGTATAACTAGCCTTTTCTGCTGTCTGCTGCATTTTTGCAGTTGCTGAATTGATTTTTCCCAGGGTAACAGGGAGGTTTTGGTTTTTTTCTCTCTCTCTCTTTACCTTTGCACAGTGGCTTTAGTGCAAGATGAGACCAAAATCAGAAGCTTGAGTTAGCAGGAAGGCATTTTCCATGGAGAGATGTGTGCATGCAAAGGATGGAGCTAATCCTGCAAAGTGCTGACTGAGTTTAGCTCCCATTGAGATCAAGAGAAGTGGAGGACACTAAGCACCTTATAAGGAGGGACTCAGCATCTCTCCGGATCTGGCCTAACCTTCTTTTAGCTAACATTAACATTCTACCTATTCTACCCTCCCCCTTTCTTACTTCCATTTGGTTCCTTTACTTTATAGCAAAGGGACTGTGCAGTTGCTCGAAAAAGTCATCCACTGGGGATGCCCAGACTCTGGTTGAGCCTACAGAATGTGCAGTGAATTATTTAAAATGTACAGTTTGTAGACACACCGAATACTAAAATCCCCCAAATCCAGAGGTCCCCCAGGGTGGTCCCCAGAACCAACGCTGCATTATCTGTTACCTTGAGGTCCCTGGGGGCTGCTGCCCAGATGTAGTACTGGATTTTTGGAGATCCGCAGTGCTGCTGCCAGTTTCTGAAGCTGCATCTCTGTGACATGGAGGTACTAAAAGTACAGTGCTATTCTGTACATAGCAGTTTGCAGTTTGGTGATTGTTCTGTTTCACCTTCCAGGTCAGATTTCTTTACAAGTAAAAGGATTGTGAACCAGATCCTCCACGTGTGTAAATTGGGAAGAGTTCTTTTGATTACACCAGCTGAGCATCTGGCCCGGTTTGCCTAAAATGCAGTGTATGTCTACACAGCAGCCATGAGGTGTGATTGTAGCACATATAGACATACCGAGCTAGCATTGATCTAGGTAGGAGTACACTGTAGCAATGCACTGCAGTCACACCTCTCGATTGCAGTGTAGGCACACCCTAAATCCTGCAAACTCACCTTGGAATCTGGGGCTCCAGCTGCATCCTTCGCTGCTCGTGTGCATTACTGGTGATACATTCTGCCCTTGCTGGATTCAGTGCAGGGCACAGGTGTAACTAATTGTCCTCTGTGGGCAGAGTTTGTTTCTTTTGTGTTCTTTGTCTTCTTGTGTTCACGATAGCATTAGCCTGAGGTATGACTTGTGTTTTGCTCCGACCCTGAGTACATACAGGGAGCAGATCTGGTGGCCTTTGTTAGATAGTTGTTTTTCAGGGTAGGATCATTGTTTAGCTCTTGAAGGGTGACAGGATGGGATTCAGGAGATTGTCTTGGTTGAATGCTGTGACAGGACCATTGCGTGTTATGTAGCGCCCATGACAGCCCTGTAACTGGGATTCCAGAGAGCTTTTTGTCTACATGCTCGTAGTTACGGTTCTATACTCCCCCATCCTAAACAGAAGGGCCATGGAATTTGGCTGGAGGGGGGGACGGGGGGAGAGGTCGGAGAAACACTGGCCTGGGAGAATGAAATGGAATTGTTGCTGTGGGGGTGGTGGCTCAGCTGTCCTCCCTTTTCTCCGCTCGGTAGGGTTCTCACCATATTGTGCTAGAGGGCTCATAAGCTACTTCCACTCCCCTTTGTAGCTTGTGGTCCGTTCCTTTAGTCCTGCAATGGCTCCCCATGTGCTGCATCTTACGCTCGTTCAGTTTTTCAGTGGCTGGAATTGATGCTGTTGTCAGTGGGCTCCTGGCTAATTCCCCACCTGCAGGCAGAAGGATTTTTCCACCCTTGTCAAACCTTGATTGTACACACTTCCTTCAACCAAAAAGCCAAACAGCAGCTATTTGTAGGCTGTAATAGAGTTTACTCTGGCTTCTCTATTTGCACTTTGCACCCTCATCAGGGGTCTGCGCTAATGGGATGTGGCATGGCTGATAACCCTCAGCATCCTAGCCTGTCTTGCTTAGCTGTGATTTCTTAGTACTAAGCAGTGTTAATTGACAGTTCTTAGTAAGGCTGGCAGAACTGTGTGGGGGATGGTGAGTCCACAAAGCAGGGTATTCCTTGGAATTTAATTTTGTTGTCCAGATTTAAAACAAAAATAAGTCCCTGGTTGCTGAATATAACCTTTGTTCTTCATTTCCTTCTGTATAACTCATTGCCCTCAACTGCGCACATGAAAAATTGCTCCTCCAGGGTGGGAATTCTCCCTTCTCCACCCAAAGTGCGATTCATCTCCTGGTGGTGTTATGGGCACACCTAGCTGTGAGCATCTCAAACAATAACATCTCTGCCTGGTTGAATCCCAAGCCACAAACTGGTGCATTTAAAAGCACTGAGATGTAAATGCAAAACTATTGAATGTTTTAAAATCTAAAATACCAGGACAGAACCTCTTCATTTAGCAAAGCAGTATAGTAATCTGCAACCCTTTTGTACCGGCAAAGTGTGTTACAGAGAGAGGTGTTTCACAAAAGAAAACATAGAATTAAACTTCTGACTTTTTGAAAGTGTTAAATTTCAGTGTGAAGGTGAGCAAAGTGTCAAGGATGCTGTTTAGAACGGGCAGGCTGCTGCTGTACAAACTACTGCTCTGTCTGTGCACCTCAGTTGTGCTCTGCATATAGTGATATCTCCACTGCAAAGTCGCCAGTGGTAGTTTTGTAAAACAGACAAACACGCACTGTGAACTACATGCAGATTGAATTAATTTCACTTCTCTCCTAAGCCACATTTGCACTCTAGCCTCTCCAGGAAAAGACTTGTACACACTAGTGACTGATTCAAAGCCCACAGAAGTCAATGAAAAGATTTCTCTTGACTTCAGACCAGGCTCAGTGCTACCTATGCCTGGTACTCTGCTCCCAGAGCCTGATAAATTAATATCCTGCAGAATTTAATGTAGCATTTTGCAGCTCTCCTCTGGCCATGGTGGTGGTGTTTGCCCATAAATTACATCTAATGCCAGCACAAATCAGGGACTGCAGTCGCATTTGCAAAAAGGAAAAAAAATTGTATATTGTGGGGATGGGCAAACCTCTGCAGGTCTGCAGCTTTTGTCTGAGTAAGAATGTACTAATGTGGATGCTCATCTGAAATCCATCCAAACGTGTATGTTTTTTTTGGGGTGGGGGGAAGGGTTGGGTCTAGCATCTTTCGGTGAGATTTCTGAGGTGTCTCGGTATTGATTGGGCTAAGAACACTGCAAGAACACTGTCCTGTGAGATGTTAGCTATTGGACGAAACAAGGAAATGTAGAGATCTGGGGGGAGATGGTTAAAACAAACCATGCGTTCCCATCTCTCCTCCCCAATTTTTTCAGCCTCCAAAAATTGTTTGGATCTCTTTCAGAAGCTGGTTTAGGGTGAGTCCTTTGCCCAAAACCAGTTCACACATCTCTAATCCCAAACCCTGTGTTTATGTATTTGGTTAGTTTTGATTATCTTGTAAATTGGATTTACAATTAGGGGTGTGGGGGTGGGGCTGGTGGTATGCGCTAGAATTTATAACCAATTTATCTTGTAAATTGGATTTACAATTAGGGGTGAGTATGGGGGTGGGGCTGGTGATATGCGCTAGAATTTATAACCACTATTTTCCTTAACGTTAATTGTGATTTACATCCCAAATTACAGCCTTTAATTAAAACTCACTGATAGGGAGAGGAAGGGGAAGATACTTGGCTAAGATATCAGTGACATCTTTGGGTTGCGGAGCTGAATGGGACAGAACAAACACACCTGGTGATTGTCAGCTCCAGTGGCATTAATGGGTTGCAGTGGAGTATCCGACTGTCTTGTGATGAAATGTCCGTACACATGAACTTTGTTTCCTAGTTTGTTTGTTTGTTTTTTAGATCACTGGATAGAAAACTGCAGAGGCCTCTCCTGGGAAAGTCAAGGACCCTTCCCAGCATTCCTCAGTCCCCTGTCCTCAGCAGGGTTCCTCTTTTGGATTCAAAATTGTATAGGGAGGAGATGCCAGAGCAGAAGCAGTACAAGAACCACTCTGCCTCAGACTGTCAGAAAGGGTGCACAGTGCCCTCTGCTGGTGAGTTTCAGTAAATGTTGGTGGATCTGCATTTCTTGTGTTTGCATGTTTCTGTCTTGAGGAGATTTTTAAAATCCTAACAAACATTCTTCCCAAACCCCCTCCAAATAAGCCTCTTTAAGAAACCAGCCACCATGGGATTTATCACACTAAAAATCATAATCACCCTTGTTGCTTTGTCCATTCCTTAGCATTCCTTTCAACCTATTCAGACAACTTCCCCTCCCCCTATCATGTTGGTGGTAGAAATGCCCTGAAAAATCTGAAAACCAAATGAGAGGCTCAGTGACTTGGTAATGGAGCATACAGAGCCTTTTGCCTCTGGGTCACTGCATCAGCTACAGCCTGGGTCAGAAGGGACCAAAGCAAATGTCACCACCATCTGATGAGTCTTTGGCCTTGCGAAATGAATTGGGGTGTCAGTCCCATTCGTAGTGGACTAAATGTCTACAGCATAACAAACATCACTGTGGCTGGAACTAATTAGCAGCTTCGTCAGCAGCCTTGGCAGAGAAACAAGCCTCTCCCATCTCCTAGGTTGAGGCGGTACTACAGAATTTGCCGTTGCGAACGTCTGCCAGGTTTGGAATGCACCTTGGCCTTTGTCTATCCTGAGAATTTTGTCATATTCTCCCACCGTTGAGCTAATCCTGCTGCAGCTCCACCTGCTAGTAGCAGTGGGGGTCCTAATATGCAGTGGCCACTGTGTTGTCTAACCCTGCTCAGACCCTGCAGGCTTAGTGATAGTTAGTGTATATTAGTGCTCCCACCATTGCTAATGATGGTGGAGTTGCACAGGGGCAACTACATGATGGGAGAATTTGATAAAAACTTCATTGTAGACAGGGCCTTCACTTTTCCAGTGTTGCCAGTCCAGCACTAAATGCAACCCAGAGAAAACTGTTCCCTCCCCCAGCATGCTTACATTTCTAAAATATATAATCCCCACTGCCAGACCTCTGTAAACTGACAATGGAATCTTTCTTCAAGCCCTGGTTCAGTTTTTATGCTCTGAACTCTGTGTGTCTCTTGCTGGCATTGCTAATTCCCTAGATAGTTGTGTGCAAACAGAAGCTCATAAATGGCACCATTACCTTGGACTGGTTCTCCTGAGTATACAGAAACTGGGGCTCAAAGGCTCATGATATCAATGTCCATAGAATCATAGACTATCAGGGTTGGAAGGGACCTTAGGAGGTCATCTAGTCCAACCCCCTGCTCAAACGAGGACCAATCCCCAACTAAATCATCCCAGCCAGGGCTTTGTCAAGCCTGACCTTAAAAACTTCTAAGGAAGGAGATTCCACCCATTCCAGTGCTTCACCACCCTCCTAGTGAAAAAGTTTTTCCTAATATCCAACCTAAACCTCCCCCACTGCAACTTGAGACCATTGCTCCTTGTTCTGTCATCTGCCACCACTGAGAACAGTCTAGATCTGTCCTCTTTGGAACCCCCTTTCAGGTAGTTGAAAGCAGCTATCTAATCCCCCCTCATTCTTCTCTTCTGCAGACTAAATAATCCGAGTTCCCTCAGCCTCTCCTCATAAGTCATGTGCTCCAACCCCCTAATCATTTTTGTTGCCCTCTGCTGGACTCTTTCCAATTTTTCCACATCCTTCTTGTAGTGTGGGGCCCAAAACTGGACACAATACTCCAGATGAGGCCTCACCAGTGCCGAATAGAGGGGAACAGTCACATCCCTCGATCTGCTGGCAATGCTCCTACTTATGCAGCCCAAAATGCAGTTAGCCTTCTTGGCAACAAGGGCACACTGTTGACTCATATCCAGCTTCTCGTTCACTGTAACCCCTAGGTCCTTTTCTGCAGAACTGCTGCCTAGCCATTCTGTCCCTAGTCTGTTGCCGTGCATGGGATTGTTCTGTCCTAAATGCAGGACTCTGCACTTGTCCTTGTTGAACCTCATCAGATTTCTTTTGGCCCGATCCTCTAATTTGTCTAGGTCCCACTGTGTCCTATCCCTACCCTCCAGCGTATCTACCACTCCTCCCAGTTTAGTGTCATCTGCAACCTTGCTGAGGTGCAATCCACGCCATCCTCCGCCATGTTTAGGCTGTCCTCCCATACTGACTTCTGTCATGAGCACCTGAGTCTTCCTCTCAGGCCCTCAAATCTGTAAGTTCTACCTGGGATGGTGGTGCCTATAGGAAGACCTGGGTTCATGATGGAGAAGTGATCCTCATGAAGTCAGTGCCCCCAAGTGTAAAATCAAGTAGCTTATAAACAGACTGGAATTGAGAGTAGTTGGCTATGCTCTGCTAGTCCTCAGGATTTCATTAGTAGTCAACTGGCATTCGTTCACATGCACAGACTTCTTGTGGTTTACCTTGATATACAGTCTTTGTTGGGCAGTGAAGCAAGTGAAGCATCTAGCAGGAGTCATTTGTGCACAAGAGAGATTTTATCTTCAAAGACCTCAATGGCCTGGCCCCAGGATATGTAAAAGATCCTCTAAAACTCCAGAGTGAGGACCGTGGCCAACAGCTTCACCTTAGGTCCAGTGGAACTTTTTACCACAAAATAAAGCTTCTGGAGCTTTCTTGGGAGCCAGTCCGAGGCCGTGGAACAAACTCAGGCATGAACGACCATCACAAACCTCACCACCACCTTCTCAAACTGCCAGGCACACTTCTTCCACCTGCCTTCACTGACATAAATACAAAGCAGCATGGACATTAAAAAAAAACCCCTACAACCTAAAACCAAACCCTACCAAAACAAACACTCCACTGCACATGGAATTGCCACCCTGAGGAAGGGATAAGAGAGAACGAACCATGCAGGAGAGAGGTTAGTCAGGTCACTCTATGCACTGTTGGAAGGTGCTCAGTTCCTCTGGTGATGGCATGAGTTTTCATACTTCATATAAAATAGAACAGAGAGATACCCTTTAGTCAATGTATTGAGAGCTGTAGTATTCTGGTCAGATTGCTTTTTTGGCTTTGTGGCACCCAGTGGGAAATGGCTAATTAGGTACCCATTGTGCCCAGAAAGGTACAATAGTGATGAGCAAAAAAAAAAAAAGAGGAAAAAAAAGAGTAACTTCCCTTTGTGGTGACTGGATTCTTGGTACGCTAACTTGAATTGCAATTTGGCAAGGTTAACAGTTAATAAATTAGGCCTTAGAGCTCCTTTTATCCACTAATATCAGAGTGCTCTGCAAACTTTGATGTGCTGAACTGAACCTCACAGCAAAGCACTCCTATAGGTACACTAGTATCATTATCTTTTTATAGATGGGGAAATTGACACCGAGAGATTTAAGTGGCCTGTCCAAGATCACACCTAGTCATCACCAGAAATGGGAATAGAGCCCAAGAGCTCTGACTCTCCACCTAACAGCACCAGCTTTAATGATTTAGACCATTTTGTCTTGCTTGTGTTATCAGCCCGATCAATTTGAAGTTGTCTAGCCAAGACTTCCCCCAGATAACTGGCTTGCTGAAGCAGGCACCAGAAGTGTCTCGCAGCATGCAAAAAATCAGTCTAGTGGGTTGGCTTGTCAGGAAGCCTGTAGTTCACATTGGCTGGGAAGAATCTCCCAGAGAGATGGCAGGACAGAATCACTTCCTAGTCCAATAGGATGCTCCATCCTTCTTTGGCCAGCCAGTGTATTCCTCAGCCCTTCACTGTCAAACTGCCAGTGATTCCATTCAGCTTTTGGAGCGAGTGCCTGGGCTGAAGGAGGGGACATGCCCAGGACATGCCGAGACCTCTGTGGGAGTGATGTCTGGTTCCATAGGGAGGTCTCAGACAGTCTTGGCTGGAGACAGTTGGTGCCGTGCAGAGGGCCTCACGGAGGGAAAATGTAGTAGGGCACCTGGTTCCACCAAAAAGTGAACAAGTTAAACCAAGACTGCAGGTCAGACAGATACGCAGAATTGTCTCAATGCAGAGAAATGGCAAGCGAGCCTTCCTGTTGTTGAAAAGCAACTTCCTGTTTTAATGTAGCCTGGGAGGCAGTCGACTTTCCTGCCGAGCCAGCTTTGGGCTTTGTAGGGATCCAGTTTTGTTCAGTTTCCTTTCCATTAATTTGTAAAGTTTCATCCAATGAGGCATTGTCTAGGGGAGCGAGAGAGAGCCGTGACAAGCACTGGGTGCACTCCTCCTGTCTATCCGTGGAACCCTTGATGGAGCTGTGCTCTCTCCCCGGCTATTGGACTAGCTGGGAAATTCCTCATGGCCATGAGGACTGGAATATAGCAGGATGCAGACTTGGGCAAACAGTTGCTGTTAGAACAGGGGGTCATGATAATTCCAGCTTAGTCCAAATGATTATACCCCTGGCATCACATTCTGTAGCACTCTGCGAGATTTCACACTACCAGCAGCCTGTCTCTGGGGAATGAGTCTCCTTTCTCTTGGGCCTACCATGGCTTCCTTGTCCTTACTTGTTGCCTCTGTGTCTTTGGAGGGAAATTGATTTTGGTCTTGTCTTTCCTTGGTTCTGCCATGGGAGGGGGCTGTCCCTAAACCCTGTCAGCTCTGTTCTGCACCAGAGGTGGCTGTCTCCATGTTTTATGTCTAACCTCCCCAACTCCCTCTGTCCCACATCAGGAGGGATTTATGCTTCCAAGCTCTGAAGCTCCCCCTGCCTTACATTGGGAGGGGGCTGTAGCCATTTGTTAGCTCTTCCCCTGCCTCCTCCCATTCCACGCTGGGCTCACATTGTGCTGAGCTCTATTGAGAACCTGTCCATGTACTTTGGTACCTCAGGGTCTGTCTACACTGGAGCTGGAGGTATTGTTTCCAGCTCAGTAGTTGTACAAGCTACAAATAACAGTGCAGCTGCGGTGGGGCGAGTAGCGGGAGAGGCTAGCTGCTCTAGCGTGTACCTAGAGTCTCAGATGGAATCATACTTGGGGCCACCAACCCCTCCTGCCCTCCACTCTGTAGGGGGTATGATTTACACTAGTGGAGCAACATGATTGAGCTCAGTGGGGACAGCAGAGTAAGACCTTCCCCACCCAATCCCTGTGTGTCCACATCTTGGCTGGAGGAGAGGGGGGAGGAGGGGCTGTATGCCTGGTGTACGTGCCTTTGAGTGGTGGAACCTTGGCTAGGTGGGAAATAATCTTTACTCAAATAAAAAGGTGGCACAGATCACTTCTCCCAGGAGAATGAGGGGAACAGGGAGGGAAGTCACAAATCCATCCCAAGGCTGCTCTAGGATATGCAGCTGGCTGCTGTCCCTTACACCGGGCATGTAGCAAAGGCCAAGTGGAGAAAAACCTATGTAAAACTAGTGTAAATGAACCCAGAATCAGGCTCAGTAAGTCCATGCCATTTAATCCCGTTTCCCTGCTCTTTGGAACATGAGAGCAGAGGAGTTTCTCCAAAATGGATACATTTCAGTGGACCTTGGTTCCCCATTTTTTGCAATCCTCCCATTTTGTCTTTACAGCACAGTTAGATTCCCTGAAATTAACTGAGATTGTAGGTAACCAGATTCAATCACTTTAAATTGGAGTACTCTGAAGCAGCAGTCACCAGCAGTCAGGGCAGAGCTGCATTGGGAGCAAAGGAACTGAATAGCAGAGTGTGCTGCAAGCTTACTTTAGGGGCACAGAACTTGGCTTCAAGGGAGCTGCAGGTGATGAGTGATTCATTAGCGGAGGTGTGGAGAGGAGTGCAGAGTGTGCCTGACAGCAGTGTGTCACTTGTCATACCACTCACCTGGCCTCCCCATATGTGTTTGAAAAGGACAGGTAGCCGTGTAAGGACACCCAGGCTAGCTTTCCTCTCTGTGCATGGCTCGGGTGGTAAATTGAAATTGTTGGGGTCTGCCTTAAAAAAGGAGGCTTTGCTTTTGTGCATCCTCAGCTTGGTTGTTTTATCATGCCATTTCCCGCTTCTCTCCCAGAACAAGATTATACAGTGGCAGTCTGAATCTGGGCTTAGATTGATGTGTTTATGCATTGAATAATCACAGCTTTCAAACAGAAGTTCCTGTTTTGTATGAGCTGACATTTGGAGAGGAGCAGCAGTAGCTTATTAAATTTAAAATGGGGGTAAAAATGGAATGTATTGCTCTTCAGCTTGTTTCATAGTTAATATTTTAACCTCCCCTCTCCCCAAAACATCCCTTCTTCAAGTTGAGTTTCTGGTTGTGTGCTCTAATTCAGTGGCAGTATGTGCTGTCTTTCTGCTTTAAACAAGTCTAGGGGCTTAGGGAACAGGCTTGCTTGTTACAATAGACACCAGAATAACTCGACACAGTTTGGGCAGCAATGGATTTTAGACAGTATATCCTCTCTCTCATGCTGCTAGCTTCATATAAAACTCTATCCCAAGGCTGCTCTGAGACATTCAGCTGCCTGCTGTCCCTTACATAGGGCCTGCAGCAAAGGCCAAGTGGAGAGAAACCTATGTAAACAACAGTCCGCTTTGTTGCTGTTTTGTGGCTGGTTTTCACCTCAGGGTCTCATCTTCTGGTAGAATTGTAAGCGATTTGCCCTTATTCCTGGCCTTTATAAGGTCAAGAGCACTGTTGGTCTAAGGCTTTGGAGTCTCCAAAAGGGGAAATACGAATGATCTTTGCAGTAGGGATGACTAACAGGAGGAGAGAATTTCTGATGGAGAAGAATTCTGTTTTATATTTAATGCTTAATAATTGGCAACTTTATTTTTATTGGAATTGAGCAAGTTTTATTTTTTAATTATTATTAAGAAGTAAATGATTATGGTTTGGGTTGGGGAAAACAGGGGGGATGGGAAGCAGAGAAAAAAATCACTCTTTGCCAAATGTAAAAAGACAAATTTGGCAAGAAAATACATGTGATAGCCAAGCTGCTTACAGCATAACAGAATGGTGATATTATAAAGGCATTTAACAGCGTTTCGTTACTTTTTTTTTTTTTTTGCACTGAAATAGACAAGCCTATTAAAAGTATCTACTCTTTTTTTGTTTTCCAAATTTGTTTTCCTCTGTGGCAGGCTCAATCTTTTTCACCATGTCTCATCTTTCACAAGCGTTCCAGCCACACCGAGCTCTTCTTCAGGTCTGGGAAATGTGCTCCCAGCATCACAGCAAAATGCAAGATGGAACAGATGGTTTAATTTTAAGAGTTAAATTCATGACTGTGCTAGACACTAAAAATCATGGACTGAAAGGGACATTGGATTTCTGGCTTATTACAACAATCTGTAACCCGCTAACCCGCTCTTTTTGGGCTATGGACTGCAGAGGTGTTAACAGACCTTGAATGGTCCCTTACAACATGTGCTAACTACTTATGCTAAACAATCTGTTCCACCTTGCGTTTTGCTGTGACGGTCGGAGTATCTTGGCTCAAAAACTTCTCTCTCTCGCCAACAGAAGTTGGTCCAGTAGAAGCTTTTATGTCACCCACCTTGTCTCTCTCGTACGGTATTATCTGAGGCATACAGAGGCTAACTGACTTGCCCAAAGTGTCACAGTCAGAGCCAGGTCTCCCAAGTCCCAGTCTAGTGCTTTAAGTACAAGACCATACCTCCGCTCCTTTTGTTAGGGAATACAGTACACAAAGCCCTAGTAACCATGCTGCAGGGAACAGTCCTTCACTGCCTGGGGCTGGGTTAGAGAATGCCTGTTTTTTCCATCTCTGATTTGGCAGCGGCTTTTTTTTTTGTTCTGGTTCCTTGAGGGCTGAGAGCAAGCAGCATCCTCCAAAGCACCGTACATGGAACCCTTCTGACTTATGGGGAGCTGGTTGCCTGACGTGCAGCAACAAATGACATATCAAGAGATTCACCCTGTGCGGAGAGCCAAGGCAAGGCCCATCCGCCCCTTACCCTGAGTGGGACATAAGCAGAAAGCATAGGCCAGTCATGGGCTCCTCCCTACTGGGCTGGATTTCACCCAGAGTCCATAAGGTTGGGTGTATTTAGAATGATTACTAACTTTGTCTTACTCTTAAAGCTTCCCACTGGATCAACTGTGGTCCTGAGGTGCCATCCCAACCCAATGAGTGCCCCATCTATGCTCTGCCCTTGCCCTCAAATCTTGCTGGAAGGGAGAGAATTAGCTGTGATGTGGGAGCCTAGCGCCATGCCTTCCAGCTTCCTGCCCCCTTCTAATGCTGGATTTCTGTCTCCCTACAGGGGAGGCCTGGCAGCTGGAAGACGATTGTGTGGAGCCTCCCGGGGATACCGCTCCCCAGACCCAGCTCTGCACTGCCATGGACGAGGCCCCATTCAGGCACTTCCAGACGCACTCCTTCTACATGAGGAAAAGCCTGTCTATGGACAACCACCTGAGCTCCCTCAGTTACTCTCTCCACCCGTCAGAGACGAAGGCTGATCGCGTCAAAACCAAGCTCAGGAGGCAGTTTGTGAGTACTTGATGGGAGGGGTTGCTCTCCCCCCCCCCCCAATTCCCATAGTCTATATTGAAGGTTACCTGCATATGTGCACACATTCTCAAAAACAGTGACATGCTGGATGGTTATTTTTATTCAAAACATGTTAAAAAATAGTTTGGCTCCCCAGCTTGGTCAAACAGATGGCAGTAGCATCGTCTGGAGTTTGGCAAAATCACACCACAAAACCGATTTGTCTCGTTTGTCAGGTTTTTAAATCGCTAATGTTAAAAGAAAAGCTGTCATCAGAGACCGCACCTGCTTAGGCTGGGTAATGCAGTGTGGTAACATGCTATCTCTTCAGCTCTGGAAGCTTCCATTCAAATCTTGTTTTTATTTTTTAGGCCTCAAATAAAAATGGGTTTGTGGTCTTATACCAGTCTTTAATCCTCAACATGCAGATTGGCCTTGTGGTAGTCTCTGCTTAAAAAAGGATCCAGGCCTGGAATAACAGCAGTGGCAGCAGGTCAGAACGGACAGGATGAAGAGGTACCAGGAAAATAGAAACACCCATGGGTGTGTTAGCAGAGCTATGTGTGGTCCTAGCACTGAAATAGCAGAGGATGCGGCTGAGGGTGGGAGGGACTGGAAGAGCAGGAGGATGGGGTTAGGAGTGAAAAGTGCTGGCAGAGCTGTATAGGAAGCCAGATCCCTGGAAAAGGAGGCAGTGCTGCAGGCTAGGCTAGAGGCACCTTGACAGATCTAGGTGCATGTCTGGGACTGTCATAATGTTGGGCATGCTGCTGCATGGTGCACTGGCAGAGCTGGGAACTGGGATTGCCAGGTGAAGATGAAGCTGCATTGGCTGGTTGCATGCATGGAGCTTGCACGTGACCTGTCTCTGCTATTCCAGTTTCAATGTTGCTATTTACTCACTTCCATAAGCAATAAATTAACTCCATCTAAAAGGGGGTTTGGGGGTGGGAAGGAAAGCTGGGGTCTGCTGTTGTCATTTGAAGACTAAGTCTAACAGAGAGAAAGCAACCTATCCCCCTCCCCCAAGTAAACCAAACCCCAAACCACTTGCATTACCTTCGCTTCTGATTTGGCATGTGTGGCAGCTGGTCTGCACCCATCTGCATCATGGGGGGCAGGGGGCAGAGTATAGCACTTTGCCTAGGAGTCAGTCCTCTGAGAGTGATTAAAAGAGGACACAGGAGCAGCACCAGCCAGGACATGAGGCAGTTAGTGGAAGTTTTCTGTTTAAAGTTTAATAGGTTTGCTGCTTTTCTTTCTGAGAGACACCCGATATGGACATTGATACAGTCATCTCCCTGCCTCATTACTGGCCTCGGGGTTGTAATGAGGGGCTCGGGTGACCCTGCAGTGAAACTCAACACTGCTGAAGCTGGAATTGATGGGGGCATAGGAATGAAGGGAATGAATGTGAGGACTGGAAGGGGGTTGCCATGCTCCTAGAGACAGTGAGGTAGAGAGAGCAGAGCAGTGCTCAGCACTTGTGATAATTGTAACTTTTGTTGTTTCACACCCGGTGGTTTTCAGAGTCTTTTGACGCAGCAGGGGACTTGGTAACTTTTCTTCTCCTCTAGCCAAGAGGAAGAGCTGCTCATCTTGCTTCTGTTCTTCCATGGATAAGCATGTTTTCTTGGGAACTGCTTTTATAACCTCATTTCCTTGGGGCCATCCACAGTCACCCCTGGCTTGGAAGTGTTCCTGAGAAATCCCAGAAGAGGATTTTCCCCTCCCAGATGTGTGTGCACATCCCTGCTGCATTAGTTGTGTCCCTGTGTTTGGATGGGCAGTAAAATGTGATCTCTCTTTCATCTCCTGAGATGACAATTCTGAGTTTAACTATGGTTTGTTGCTTTTTCATACGGCGATAAAAGTGGAAGCCTGCAGTGAATTTTTATGGATGCCTGTTAAGATCCCAGTGCTGTGAACCACAAGCAATAAACCAAGTCTCTGGGTTGTCTGTTTTAGAGGTAGGAACTGGCTGAAACCAGCTACTGTAGGCACCAGCATAAACAGCGCAAGGTATCTCAGAAATAACTGTAAAGACATGTTTAGAGGGAGACTGTTCTGCTGTGGGGTAAGAAATGGAATCTCTTTTCTCTGCTGACTTCTTTGTCCTTTAAGCCATACAAGTTTTCCCACCTCTGGCTTTGTCCACACATCACAGTGTGAGTGAAGGAGAAGTGATTATGAAGAGACTGATATGGAAATATTGGAGGCTTTTTTTGTATTGGAAACACCTTTCGCTTTTCCGGATCAGATCAGTTTACCCTGAACAAAATACAGTGCCTTCTGCATTAGCAGTGTGAGTAGTAAGTGCAGTGGGACTGCGATACTGGCCAGACGTGGGCATGGAATATTAAGCAAACTCCTTTAAGAGTCTCTGGGATAGAGATTCCTCTGTGCCCTTGGGTCTTGCTGTTCCTGGCTTATGACAAGCGGGTAGCGCTCCAGAGCTCTTGACTATGAAAACATTGAAGTGCCTCACAACGGGGTGGGCCTGGGTTTCTGATGTGACAGACGCCAGTGCCCTTGACCATCTGTTCCTTCCTGCCTTCTCACTGATGGTTCTGGCTTTGTAGCATAGCAGGTGGTGGCAAATGCCAGAGGCAGAACACAGTCCAGATGGGACAGGTCTAAGCACATCCTGGGTGCATTCATTCTTTTTATTAGACCTTCTGGAACCTGCTGTTGGGTTTTTTCTATTGAAAGATTTTTCCCCTTTCAAATTAGCTCAGATTGCTTGTTCTGAAAACAAAAGCAAGCTATTTTTGTACCATGAGCAGCTTTGCTCCTTGTTCTATAGGGCTTCCTCTAGAGCAGTGTTTTTTTGTACACCTTTTTCTTAAGAAGACTGGCAAGAAAGACTTTAAAATAAATCCTACTTAAACACCTGTATGAGCAGGCTAATTTTTAAAACTCCCATTGAAACCTACATCTGATTTAGAGATTCAGATTTAATGCTTAGGGCACCAACCCAGACTGAGATCTGGGATCAATCCACTCTGCCACAGCCTTGCTGTGTGACCTTGGGGAAGTCATTTAGCCTTTCTGTGCCTCCGTTCCCCCATCTATACAGTGGGGATAATAGCGCTGCCCTGTCTCACAGAGGGGTTGTGAGGATAAATACATTAAAGACTGTGAAGCGCATAGAGATCTCCTGCTGAGAAGTGCTATAGAAAAGTTAGCATTATCAGATACAGGACACCTACTTGTGAAAATCTTGCCCCCCTCCCCTGCCCAATTGTTCTAATGGGAAGGGCACATTCTTATTCTGTGCCAAGGTTAAGAAATGCTCCATAACACTAGACAGAATGGAAGAACTCTTACATAGTGCACATGTCTCTGGTGAGACATAATGGGTGCCAGTGCTACTAGCTGTCAGTTTGATTCTCTCCTCTCACCCCTGCATTCTGTTTTAAGGTTCGATCCTGCCCATTGAAGTCAATGGGATTTTTTCCTTTGATTTCAAAGGAAGCAGGATCAGGCCCTTAAAGCTGTGTGGCAAGCCAACATAGCTGATTAGCATTGTCCATCCAGGATTGTATTGGGATTTTGCCAGGTATTTTTTCTCATTATTTCCTTTCTGAACTGCTTAATATCCAAAAAGCATATTGCTGTGAGCTGTGATCTCAATGGATCTAACTGGTATAGTAGGGACATCCTGCCTGGGGGAGTGCTTGAATGGGGAACTTCAGAGGAAATCCCAGCTGCAGGAAATGGTGGTGGTGATTTATTAGGTATGTTCTGCATCAGCCCAGAACCAGTGTCCCAGTGTGGTGCTAGGAGGCACTCACAGCTGACAATGCCATCTTTCAAATTAGAAGTGAAGGTCCTGACAACTGGTGATAGACTGTGATGTCTTTAACTATTTTGCAAAAATAGCTACGTCTCATGTTAGGCTCAAATTCCAATCAAGGTTCAGCAGTTACTTCCATCTACCTACAATCGTCCCGCAAACTACATGTTATTGTTTTCACTTTCTATTCAAAATTGTTGTGTTGTGTTGCTGTGTGAAGTTAACAGCTCCTGTGTCCTACCTCAGCAGTGGCTGCATTTCAGGGGTAGGTGGAGTGATTTCACGTCCGTAAGGTCTGTGCTCTGCTCCATCTGTTTTGAGGAACAATAAAACATCACATGATAGGAGATGGTTTTAATTTTTCTGTGATGGCACACCCGGGACTTCTTAGTAAAGTCTCCCATCAAAACTTGATTGAGTTTTCAGTGCTGCTACTGCTATCCAGTTTTTAATGTTTAATTGCTGACTTTCATTCTTTTTGTATTAAAAATCAGTCTGAAATGCCTCTGCCACATGATGCAGTTGCTCCCATTTCTATCTCTGGGAAGCATCTGTGATCCTGGTATGGTGACTCAGGTTTAGGCCAGTGTTGCTTGAGAATGTGCTATCCAGTGGAGAAGGGATTGGGGAGGTACAGTAGGTATAGAGGGGACACTTAGTGTCCCAGGGACCTATGGTACATACTCCTGGTACTAAGTACTGGGGCTAAAACAGTTTTAAGCCACTGTATACAACAGTAGTCGTGGTCATCCCAAGCGTTTAATGCATTCCAGCCACATCAATTAATAGATTCCAAGGCCAGAAGGGGCTATTGTCATCCTTTAGTCTGACCTCCTGCATAGCACAGGACTCTGCTGTGGACATCAGGGATTCTACAAGGAAAATGACATTGGAAGCTCATTAATGAGAATGAACAAGTGTCTTGGGCTTCATAGTGCTGTCTCCAAAGTGGCAGGGATGTGCATGGGGTGGGATCTCTGTTGCTAAATAATCTTTGAATTGCAGTGTGGCCTGGTGAATAAAGCACTGGACTCAATCCTGGAGATTTGGCTTCTGTTCCTGGTTCTACCATTGGCCTGCTAGGTGACATTGGGCAAGTCCCTGCACCATGCCATGCCTCAGTTTCCCCATCTGTAAAGTGGGGATAATGATAGTCACCTCCTTTATAAAATGCTTTGAGCTTCCCAATGAAAAACCAGGT